AGATGTGTATAAGGAGACCGTATAGCTCTGTCCAGATTATCATACCCAAATAGATTCATGATCATGTGCCTATATATGGTCATGATATGATGTCGTCATGACCATATTTAGGCATGTCACATGTTTTGTTGAATAAAATATCATAGTAAGTACAGGGCTTGAGGGTGTGTTGTAGATAAAAGTGAGTAATTTTGTTTGGTAGAAATTATGAGCCTATATAACAAACTCACACATTCGCTGTAATGAACTTGAGGAATGTTGATGTTGAAGCTGGTGGAATCATCTGAGTCAGAGTCAAAGGCTGCCAGCTGGCTCTCTCGCAGTGAGTCGCTACTGCAAACACAAAGATAATCAATTAAACTAAATCATCTTTGAAGAACTACAGGTTTATTTCCGTTTTTTTGAAAAAATTTTATTATAGCATTTTGAAGTGATACTATGCAAGCCCATCATAGGGATTAATGAATGTAGCTGTGTTTTTAATTTTAATTTGACTTACGTTCTCCACCTAACAAGACTGTTCACTTCATCCTGCAGATGGTCAGGTAAGTCCTCGAAGACATCTGACTGCATTATACTTGGATGGATCATCACATACCTCAATGTCGCTTCCTAAGGTCAAAGTTGATTGAATGATTGATTAATGGATTGGTTTTTATTATCCAAACCAAACATCTACAGATATACTTTTATTTTGTTATCATTGAATGGAATCAGCTACAGTACCCCACTTGGTACTATCACTGAACGGTATACAAATAATGAATGTTTATGAGTGCAATGAGAAGAATATTTCATGAGTTGAAAGATTGACTGTTCCATTCAATGTGGCAGAGCCAAGTTGAATGGAACAGTCAATCTTCAACTAATGAAAATGTTCTTTCCATTGCACGAACACAGTACATTCATTATTTGTTTTATAACACACCTAAATTGATCTTCCAAGCAAGTGTCCCAGACTGTAAAATTAAGGCCTGTGGCCTGCTTGGGAAATAGGGGGCCTGTCAGTCAGCCCATCTGCTCGAACTGGTTGGGCTTATCCTCCGCACGCAACATAGGCCTAGGCTAGACTATAGGCCCTAGGCTAGGCTTAACCTAGGCTAGAAATCTGTCCGTGCATTTCGTAAAATACTGAGTACAGCATAACAACTCCCGGAGTAAACAAAATCTCCAATACACTGCACACTTCTAAGTTTTATAAAATATAAAATATAACTGTATACAAATATATATCATATCAACAATGAACATAAAATCATAACATACTGTATACAACAAAAAAAAACCATCATTCCAAGATTATTCTGAAAATATCAATATCACTACTATTTAGGATAAAAAAATAAGTTAAAGCTAGTGTTTTAAGAAGATACTTACTCGTAGGTGTTTGGCATGGAATTGATCGGCTAAGCTCAACATAAAGAGGGCGGAGTCTTCATCAATGCGCTCTCGTAACGCACACTCACAGGTTGTCTTTAAATCATCCACCTTCAAGAAAATGTGGGTCAAAAAACACCAACTATAATAACAATTTATGTTTTAAATTCCTTACTAAAATATCATTTGGAGAAGTCAGTAAAAAGACATTCAACAATCCATTGTACCATATAACACCAGATTTTTCATAGTCTTGGATGGAGGGGGTTCTCGTATATTACTTTAATATTTTTCCAAAAATGTTTTTAAACAACAGGGCACAATTACATGACTAATACTACATGTATGCAAAAATTCACAACCAACAAGTGTTTGAAAATTCAAGTTTGCTTGTTTACAAACTTTCAATGAATTTGATGAGGTCAGCGTCACAGATGTACGGATGCACATGCATGGTTCCAAATGCTTACAGCATAGAAACCAGTAATTAATAATTACTAACCTCATATCTGTCACAGAGTGAGAGCATATCAGCAAGCTGGTGGATTGATAGTGGCTTGGTTTTTAACTGTCCAGTGTACAGATATCCTAAAAACTGGCAAAACAATTCCGGCTCTGCATCATGAACAGAAATTTTCCTGAAAAATAAAACAAGACATTTAAATTAATGTTTTTTCCCCAGAAAATTCAAATTTTCATTAATAAAGCTCTTAGCTGTGATGTGATAAATCAAAATAACATACTACCTGTCAATACTCTCCTTCATTCCACTAAGCAGGGCTCGACGGAACCAGTCACACCTTGAAGCAATGACAACTCGATGGGCTGGTATCAATTGAGTGTGTTCCTCCAGTTCTGTTCCGTGCCTCTCCAGGGATCGTCCCTTTGAATGCTCTACCACCACATCTGAAGGTTCTTCTGTTGTGATGAAAATGAAATACATTTGTTCATTTTCAATGGAGTAGGATTGTAATTATAATTAGAGTGATAAGGATAATGATGATATGATGATGATGACAAAAGGAAATGATTATGATGAATGTGATGGTGATAGTGATGATGATGACAATGATGATAAAAGATGATGATGATGCTGATAATGATGATGACAACTTTCAAATATTAATTTACCTTTTATACAGATTACCTCGAATCTCATATCTGTATTTGTGGGATTTTTCAAGAGCTTTCCCAAGCACTTAGCCAGGTTGCTACTACTGCAACTTGGAGTACTACAAAGTGCATCCAATATCCTAGACTGGAAAAATGAAATCCACAAATAGACTCACGTTAAAATGACAGAGAATTTTTTAATATAATAATAAATAATCGTTTTTAATAGGGAGCTCTTGCCAAGCAGCAGTAGGGAGCTATTGATTGCATATCGGTAGGCCGTAGAACGTAATAACGTCACTAAAATCATCTACGTATGCAAGAATGTTAAGTTCTCCTCGTCGAGTGGATTCTAGGGTGCAACTTGGCCAAATCTACGTATGCAGAGAATGTAGGATGGCTAGTAGGACAGTCACGCATGAGTGATTTCGCAACTTGGAACAAATCAAAAGCTCCCTATAAAAGCTATTGGGCTGAATTGTAATGAGCTCTAGGCCCTATGCTCTGGTCAGTCTGCATGTGTCCTTTAGAGTAAAGACACTTTAATTTATTTATTCTTTAATAGGATTTATATAGTGCTCATATCCAGAAAACTGCTCAAGGTGGTTTTTTTTCCCTGGTCATTTAAATACAGAATCAATCAACACAACGTACAACCTCCTCCACTCCTGGATTATTCCTAGTTATGCATGTAATCAGCACTATCAATTTTAATCCACATCGTTGACCTCCTACCAGGTATCCATTTATACTCCTTGGTGAAGAGAGGCAAATGCAGGTAAAGTATCTTGCCCAAGAACACAAACGTCACAAGTATCGGTCTAGAATCGCAACCTTCCAAATGGAAAGCCCAAAACCTTCAGCCAGGAACCCACTGCTTAGTACGACTGTCATACGACAAATCCAACTCGATGCCATCTGCTGATTGTCGGTGGCAGTTGGAACAAGTCATTAAAAGCGATCCGTTAGGCGTGTCGTCTCATTGCGTTCTTCATATATTCGCGCATCAGCAGACGACCATCAGGGCAGTGAGTAGCAAGCTTTTCATGCTACGCCACATGCATTTACTGTGCCACACGCTTTAACTACTTTAATTCCAACCAGAGGTTATAAAGATTCATAGAAGAAGAGTGAAATTACCTGTTCTATTGATCTTAATGGGGACCTTGCAGGGCTACAGGCAGTGGTAGCAGCAGCCCCTCCAGCACAGGCCTCTGTCACAGAGTCTTCTGTCTCTCTGTTGGCTTCTGAAAGCAGGCCTAGCTTTACCAGACCTGCTGTAAATTCTTTGTGTTTCACTAATCGGCACATGTGATCCAGGATTGGTTTTAGGCTGGGCTTATCCATAGAAGCTTGTTGTAATGCCCAGGACTGGTAGATCAAGACACCATTTCAAAATACCAAAAAAAAAAGTCTACAAGTTCACAGTTGGTCTTTACAAATATAATGTAACTTACTAATTACATGTTGCTTGTGATGAATACAAAGGTGATAAGAACAGTGGTGCATCTAGAAGGTGCGTGGGAACACACGCCCCAAAAAATACTCATTCCCCAACCAGTCAGATTTTAGGCAATTTTTTGAGCTCCCATATTTTATAGCTCATTTACTCAATACTGGCCTGTGCAACAACTTAACCTAATCGCCACGATATTTTTCATATGACGATGATGATAATGGTGATGATGGTGAATATAATGATGATAACGAATCTAAGAATGATGATAATGACGATGATCATAATGAGGATGGCATTGAGAAGAATGATAAATGAAAATAATGATCATAACAATAATGATCATAAAAATAATGATCATAATAATAATGATCATAATAATAATGATCATAATAAATCATAATATTAATGATCATAACAATAATGATCATAATAATAATCATAATAATACTGATCATAATGATCATAATAATAATAATAATCATAATAATCATAATTAATGATCATAATAATAATCATAATAATGATCATAATTATAATAATCATAATAATGATAATAATAATAATAATGATCATAATAATCATAATAATAATCATAATGTTTCTCATAACTCACAACTTTTGATGTTCCCAGTTTAAACATGAACTTCCAAGTCTTCATAGTTAAGTCACTGCTAATTTTCATCGCAAGTTTCTCTATTTTGTAGAGGGCATGTGGAAACTACAAAGCAATGTATATTAAAAAAAATCAGAATGACAATTAACATCATGGATCTAGTCCAGTAATGTAAAACAAATTCCACACTTTATGCTTTAAATATATTTATTTACATTTTATTTCATACAGGAAAGATAAGGTATAGGCATAAAAAAAATGTTGGACCACCAGCGCAAGCGGATATATGCAAGCTTAAGTTGTCCGAGATTTTCGAAAGGATACAGGGGTGAAGCGTTGATGTCAGTTTAGATGATTAGTCCCCTGGAAATGGTGGAAATTTTGGCCACTTTAAAGCGAGGCTCCGAGTTTAAAACTTCTATTAATTAATTAATATATATCTGTCTCTTATACCCATCTAGATGGGTATAAGAGACAGGGGCTTATCCATAGAAGCTTGTTGTAATGCCCAGGACTGGTAGATCAAGACACCATTTCAAAATACCAAAAAAAAAAGTCTACAAGTTCACAGTTGGTCTTTACAAATATAATGTAACTTACTAATTACATGTTGCTTGTGATGAATACAAAGGTGATAAGAACAGTGGTGCATCTAGAAGGTGCGTGGGAACACACGCCCCAAAAAATACTCATTCCCCAACCAGTCAGATTTTAGGCAATTTTTTGAGCTCCCATATTTTATAAGTTAGTAGTGCAATGCACAACTACTTTAAGCTATATCCCCCACCCCACCCCAATACAGAAATCAAATTACATACAGGTAATAATTAAAAATACACAACTTAAAACAAAATTCCCCAGTTTTTTTTTTGTTTTTTTTTTTGGTCCAACAACTCAAAGCCAATAGCGATAGGGGCTTTGCCAGTCTGACAGGGTGGCTTTAGCCCCTGCCTGCTCACTTGCACATCCACAGACTCTACAAGACATCAGAGAGGGTTTATTATCTTCAGACCTGGCACTTAAATTCTTGTTATTTGGAATGTACTACCTTTACAGGATATCAGAGGGGGTTTATAGCATAGAGATTTATCATAAAACAGGGTTAATAGTACCTACCTCCTCTATAACCTGTTCCATTTTCTTAATGATGGAATGTACTAACTCTACAGGATATCAGAGGGGGTTTATGGCATAGAGATTTATCATAAAACAGGGTTAATAGTACCTACCTCCTCTATAATCTGTTCCATTTTCTTAATGATGGAATGTTTCTTTTGATCATCTTCCAATCCCTCATACCTCGGCTTCCTCACTTTCAAGGTCTTGAAGTATTCTGATGCTCGGTCTTGTACACTTTCCATCTTCAGTAGTTCTTTAGCATGAATTGCCTGCAACAAACAATACTTTTAAATATGAGGATAATTATGATTTTATTATAATAGCACAATTGCTTTTTATTTATTTATTTTTTTAGGTTAGGTTAGAGGTGGTTGTTTGGGAACACTATTTAAACAGCTCTTTGAGTTTCTTTGTTGTCTACTTTTCCTTCATTCATTTCCACTATTATTTTACTTGAATATGTCTCCAGAATGAATAAAATTAATTTGAATTTGAAAATATAATCATCCAGAAGACTGCATTTGCATTCCTGCAAATTGATTGAAAAATGCAGAGATGTGAGCCCAAAATACTAAGAAACCAAAAAAATATCAGGTTGGAAGCAACCTTATTAGATGCACCTTCTTCAGAGTCTGTCAAAAGACAGAGCACTACCCAACCCCATCATACTATGCCTCCACCATCATATACTGTACATGTCCCACCCATCACATACCTTTTTCACAGTACGACTTAGAAAATCACCCTTTTTTGGCTTTGGAAGCTGCTGATATGATGCTTTGAGAACCTCATCCAGTGCTTGCTTAACATCAATCGCAAATCTGGTCACATTTTTCAAAACTTTATCAATCTGTTAATAATAAATCATTTCAATTATATTATTAATAATCTTATGAAAAGTATCAATAAAAAAATATATAATATTGTTTTTGTATCATAGTTTTCAATAATAATAATAATTGATATTTATTATATCATTTATATGGCGCCTTTTCTTTGTAGATAGAAAGCGCTTCTTTTTCCTGGTCATTTTGTGTCCACATGCCTCAAGTGTTGCTGCTGGTAATCAGCGTAGGAGCAGGCAAGCCCACCAGGTACCCATTTATACTCCTGGGTGGAGAGAAGCAATGCAGATAAAGTGTCGTGCTCAAGACACAAGCGAAATGAACAGTGAGGGATTGAAACAATAAAGTTTGTTGTAAAATGAAGATGATGATGATTAGTAAATGAAAAGGTAATTTGTTTACTTGCATGTTTACGGTGCTATTTTGTGGGACTATAGCCACAATATTTAAGGGGTATAGCCATACATATAAAATCAACAGACAAAAAATTGAGACTATAGTGACAGTCATAAGCATTAAGAACTTGTTAAAAAATATAGAGGGGCTTTAGGAAATCATATACAATATAGCCAAATTTTACAATGAATATATGAATAATAAGAATGAGAACAAATGTATTGACTACTTTAACACACACACACACACACTTCTCTTCTCTACAGATTATGAAATATATAAAGCAAAATCTACCTCAGGCACAAGGTACAAGGCTACTTCCTGACGTTGTGATGGAGTCATATTGTGAGAAAACTGTTCTTGTAAAATCTGGACAAATTGTTTCAATTGCTGTATAAAACCTGGCAACCTATTGAACATTAAAAAAAACTCGCTTTAATGTGTGTGAATTTAGAGCCCTGTCCAGACTACCAAAGTAGTTTTGACAAAAAAAACTGTTGCTTGTCCGTGATGTGCTTATACATGGTCATGATGTCGCCATGACCATATTTGGGCATGTCACATGTTTATGTCAAATAAAATGTTACGATCTACACAAGGCTTAGAATGTATCATGATATTTACTATATAAAGATAACTGCTACATAACAAAATCAAAGAAAAGTTGTCCTATAAGTACATAGTGCATCTGTTATTGTGTCATGTCTCTGACTATTAGTATTACCATGAGATGAGCACATGATGTAAGTAAAAACAGAAAATGAAGATAACCTTGACTTTATGTATGTGAAGAAGGAAAGATTATATTGTTAAATATATGCCTCAAAGAGATTAACTATATCACAGATCTTATATGCAAATAGATATAATAAATAGACCTAAGTTAGTGTATGTGAAGAAGAAATGAATGACCTTGATTTGGTGTATGTAAATATAACTTGACGTTCCTCCTTTGACAACTCACTCTGTCTTCGACAGAATAAATCACATATTAATAGAAAGTTTACGCCACCTGAAATGAATTAAATGTTTATAAAAAAAAACCCAGAATAGATGAAAGCTCCCATTACAATTCATTATTACAGTCCTCGCAAGTATTGTAGGCACTTTACGCAACAGGACGGGAAGACCGAGTGGACGGTGATTTTGTGCTCCTCAGAGCGTGAAGACCACAGTAAACAATAGGGCGCTTAACCCGAATTTCCATTGTCGAAGGTTCCCCGTCCTCTTGCGTAAAGTGCCTAGTATAAAGCACAGAACCTGTCTCTTATACACATCTAGATGTGTATAAGAGACAGTAATTATGATTTTATTTCAACTTAAGTAACAATGCATTCTTCTCCAGGAATTTGAGACACATGGCCAGCTGGAACAGTAGTCACAAGTGCTCTAGTGATACTGGACACTAATCTAACATTAAACACACAACAGAGGAGACAAAACCTCAAAGCAAAACCATTTATATACAAAGCGTCTTACCTAGCATTGCTTCTCGCATGCCTTGTTTGAAAACATAGCAGAATTTGGATGGGTCTGAGAGTGGGTTACTACTGGCACTTCCCCCCTCCCCACCAATACCACGTCCTTGGAATATGTTAATTATTCGTTGTGAACATTCATGGATCTCATTAACATGCGATATAATATCTGTGGATAAAATGACAAGATAAAGAGATTGGGTTTGAAAAGTGTCATTAAAACGGATGTTATGGATACATGACCTTATCTTGACCCAGGAGTCTCATGTTGAAAGAAATCCCTTCCAGGAGATATGATTAAACAAGTTATTTTATTTTGGTGCGCAGGGTGATACCCATCAGTTCTGACTACCGTAAGACGATTGATAAAAAAATAATAAAAACATGCAAACATTATGAATTTGCAGGAGATGGGTTATTTTCTGGGAGATTCATGTTTACTTGTGGGAGAGTGGGAAGACATCTCCATTTCCAGGAGATTCCTGTGACTTCCAAGAGACTTGCTTTCCCCTGTTGACCATATATCAAAAATAAAAATTTAATTTTGTGTATACACTGTCACTTTATTCCGCCTAACATGCAGGAATATTTGAGAAGCTGAGCTGTAATAAAGACTTCAATTAAATACCGACACCAGATCTGAACTGGGGTATTCAGAAGAAAAAGCAGGAAAATTACTTCTGGGTCAAACACTCAGCTAATCACATGCTGTAGTAAGTACAATCACACACATATTTCAAAGTATCAAAGGACAATATAAATGATTTCGCTATTTGTCCCCATCCAGCAATCTTACCATTTTTAACAGCCATATTCTGAATAAAAATTTCACACAAGTTAACCAAACTATCAAAGCCTTCCATCTTTGACACCGCGGCTTTACATGCTTTGACAGTCTCAACCTCCAAACCAGCTGGAAGACATTCAGAATACACGTAGTGTAGAATGACCCGAGTGACGTCCTCCGACAATCCACATAGAGGCCCTGGTTTTTTTCTCCAGTTCTGCTGAGGGCAGACAGCCTCAAGGATGATTAAATGAGCTGGGAACTGTGAAATACATAAACAGGTTAATAAATCAGGACCATCCATAACATAACTCAATTTATAGCAGGTTCGTTTCAGTGGAAAGTGGACACTTATCTCCGATACTCTGGAGAACATTGTAAATATATCTAGGAATATCAATTTTTCGTTTTTAAATGCGGACCTTCTCCAGTTTTTGGGTGGTCCGTCGTAACCCGTCGGAAAACTGTATGCCCATATATAGTTGTGATGTGCCTATGTATGGTCATGATGTGATGTCATCATGACCATATTTAGGCATGTCACATGTTTTTATCAAATAAAATTTTATAATCTGGACAGGGCTGGAAAGAATTTGTCTTTACAGAGCCACTATTTAATATATAAAAACAATTTTCTTGTTTTAAAAGTAGTCAAAGCGCCACAAATGTTGAAAGTGAAACCAAATTTTATCACAATCAAGCAATCAAAAAGTCAATCAAAAACAATAAATTGACAAGTCAAAAGAATTAAATAAACAACCAATACAAAACACCAAATTAATCGCTCAATAAACAAGTAAATTTTCTCACCTTTTTACTATTACTTGTCACAATTGTCACATCTGAAAAGAAACCCTCTCTGAGTGCTGGAAGTAAAGTTAGTGGTTCATCATTGACATCAACTTCTGCCAACATCTGGAGAGATAATGTCATTCCACATATTACCAGCAGTCAACAACAGACATTTCATTTAAAGCTTTAGGCACGATCAAATGAACTTTGGCCATTGATTTTAACATGCAATGATAATTGAAATTTCTATTTACTCTAGTGTTGAAAAAACTAAATGATTTTCTTAATATTGTCCACAGCGCTGATCATTTGGAACACTCAGAGCTCAATAACTTTGGGGAGTTAAGTTGTTTTTTGATTTAGAATATTCTCATATAGAAGTTTTTTTGGATTGAACCAAGAATCATTAAATTAGAAAGTGAGCACCTTAACCATGTAGATGTATTATGACTATGTGGTTATTGATTATTGACTGTGACTAAGTGGATATTTATTATGTTTGACTATGTGGTTACTGATTATAAATTATGACTGTGGTTATTGATTATGACTATGTGGTTATTGATTATGACTATGTGGTTATTGATTATGGCTATGCAATTATTGATTACCGATTTTGACTGTGGTTACTGATTAATGATTATGACTGTGTTTATAGATTATGACTGTGTTTACTGATTACTGATTATGACTTTGCAATTATTGATTATTAATTTTATTATGTGGTTATTGATTGTTGATTTTGACTGGTTATTGATTATAGATTTTGACTATGTGGTTATTGATTATAGATTTTGACTATGTGGTTATTAATTATTGATTTTGACTATGTGGTTATTGATTATTGATTATGACTATGTGTTTACTGATTATTGGTAATCATAATGCTTACCCTTTCACACAGCAGCTTGAATTCATCACCAAAAGTCAAGATTAACATGTTTTTGCTCTTGTGTAACATTGCCTGAGAAAAAAAACATTTAAAACCTATAATTAAAATCATGTTAACACACAACAGGGAGTCTTGAACAAGGGCCAATGTTAAATTAGTGTTGCCACTTCCTTGGACTCACTGTGTCTGGTGGTCGTCGGCAGACACAATGCTACACTCAAGCAACGGATCATTTTTAATGACGATCTGGTCAAAGACTGCCACTGGCAATCAGCAGACGCCCTCGCCCACCACTTACCGAGAGCGGAGTTGGATTTGTTGTACTACCGCGGTACGATGCAGTGAGTGCCAAGTTTAACAGCACTGCTCTCTCTCATTTGCCCAATAGCAAGTATGCTTGCAACTTACTGGATGGCATTATGTGATGGAAGTCTCACTATCAGACTTAATGGAGTACAGGATTTGAACCAAAGCCCTTGGGATTGAAATGCCAATAGGGAGCTTTCGATTTGCGCGACGAACGGAATCACTCATGCATGGCCGTCCTGCATACTTAGATTTGGTCAAATTGCGTCCTAGAGTGCACGCGATGAGAACTTAACGTTTTCGCATGCACAAATGACTTTTAGTGGCGTCATTGTGTTCAACGTCCTGCCGTCGTCGCACAATCGAAAGCTCCCTAATAATCCATGAATATACGGCCACTTACACTAAATTCAACACTATAACCTTTGACACTGGAGATCCATTCTATGTGGTGGAACATTTTATTACCAGAAACCTAAAAAAAAAATCAGATGATAAAAAATGTTTTAAGATTATTATTTCAAATGTTTGTTGTTATTTTTTAAATTTTATTATTAATATAAAGCGGATGACCATTCCAGCTAAACTAAAAAAAGTTGATTCATTAAAGTATCCTGTATTTATTATGGTATGTTGTACTTGCCTCATACAAATCAAAGGTAGCTGCTAAGTATGGCACATCCTGTCCGTTTGGAACACTCCATAGCAAATCCCCTGAATCAGTCATCTGGAAAATACATCTGTAAAAACAATTTGTTAATATGTTGTTCACTGAAAACTAGGAAATGATCAACGCATAAGGATTTTATTGAAAAATTTATTATAAAGTTGGAATAACCTAGTAATAAATTGGAAAATAATGGCACATTTTGCTGAAAAATAAGCCTTGACCTAATCTTAATATATAACCAAGGTATTACGCAATAGTTACGATTCTGCACACCTATTTTCCAAGAGATTTTCTGCGTAAAATTTGAGCAAGTTTTTGAGATATCATCCACGCAATTAACAAAATTCTTTACAGTGTGGTGTGGACTATGCTGTGATTTGTTGCGATTGGATTCCATGGTGATCAAAGTACAAAGTGAAATGATGTGATGTAGATTACTATTAAGTTTGTCGACTAGGATTTGGTGTGATTGTTTGCAATGTAGCAATTGCCAGTGGCGGCGCCAGCGGGGTGGCGGCTTAAGCCCCCCACCGGACAGGTCAAGGCCCCCCCGCCGGACAGAGCTCGTCGGGCAATCAGACCATAAAACATATAAAAATAGGCCCACCCCAAGCCAACACATGTCTGTCACAGTCTGAGAGTGCAATTTTTGGCCATCTAGAGGTTGATATCATTTTTTAAAAATCTCATTTGGGAGGGGGAACCCCCTCTCAACCCTTCTCCCAGCTCGAGCCTACGAGCTCAAGTCCCCCCTGTCGGACAACTTAGCCCCCCCCCAGAAAAAATATCCTAGAGCCGCCACTGGCAATTGCTACAACCGTTTGCTAATAAATTATAAAGTATGATTTGTGGCTGAAAATTGAGCTCGCAGTATTGATAAATTTACTTGACCGAAAATGCAAATTTAATAAAGCATGACTGTGCATGCATTATTTATTTCACATAAATATATCATTTACTAATTTGTTTACGGTGATGTAATATCCACTTCCTTGAATAAAACTGCTTGCCAGTCACTGGTGGCTTACATCAGTACAGTAGGCACACTTATTTTAAACTACATATTTTGAGAAACTAAATAATTAGAATCAATCATTTCCATTTACTTATTTTAGACATAAAAGAGGACAAGGCCTAGGCCCTATCCTACTACTAATTATTTTTGTACATATACTTCTACAGGTTAAGGTCTAGTACAATTCATGAACGGAAGAAAGCCAGTCCATTATCGATATAAATAAAAACGGATGCACAAGGCCCAACAGTGCAAGCTTGCACAAATTTGGATAGGATTGCCTCAATACATGAATGATGGGTGCCTACTCTCGCCTGCCGCTCGCCTGCTTACTTACTTACCCTTGAAGTTCGTTTGCACTTGCAGTGTTTGCACCCTCTTTGCTTATACCTTGTACATTTACAACCTGAAAAATAATATAAAAAGTCAACAATGTTTACACTACGTTACATATTGGGACACCACATTAAACATAGAAAAGATAAACACTCATGCTTACCTTCCATATTCCGATGGCCAAGTGATCGCCGAATCCAGCCATTTTGCTGCAATGGTAAATATAGCCATACACATGCGCAAAGCTAAAAGTCAGTCATGCGTATGATGAATCAAAACATGATCAGTTGCTCTGCTAACCGCTACCCCTATAAGTAACAAATAAAAATGAATTTTGTATAGTTGTATTCCCATGTTTCATGTGTACTATGTTCTTGATGTGCAGATGGTCCAGCCAAAAACCAACTCAGTCTCTCGTCCCATCATCCACGTGAACTCTTCCCCACATCATCAAAACCGCGGTTCTACGACCCACCTCGAGCCAAACTCCACTTCCAAAATGCTTATCTTCTGTTTTAATGTGCATTTATATTTGTGTTTTACTGCATTAATAAATGGACATCCACGAGCATCAATATCATTTCATTGAATATTAGAATAATTTTATATGCCTCTCTCAATATTGTGCCGACGTTTTAATAACCGGATGCTCTTTGAATATAAACAAATGGCTAAATAATAACAGTTTATAATCGTATCAACCATAGCCCTTTAAATGTTCCAGTTGTATTAAAAAAGTGTCTGGCGGGATTCGAACCTACAGCCTCTCGCTATCAAGGTGAGTATCATTCCCATTAGACCACATGGACCCATAGGGTATAAGGGTAGATCTAACGCCACTCCCCCACCGTTATTTTTTGTCAGATTTGTGTACGTTATTTTGATGTAATGAGCAAAGACATGTCATTCTGTACTGTATATTCTTTTCTGTTTTCTGACGTACGTCAAGATTTTGAAATGAGAAGGTATAAATATTAAGAACAATATAAAAGCGCTCATGTTATTTTTTGTAGGGCCTAACATTCCTGATGAGCACATAATTAATGTCAAAATATTGAATCCCAACACGATGGCGTCTTATCTGAGAATAATCAGTGGACCTTTCGGTTTTCAGGCCCTGATATTGTTCTGTAGTTGTGTGTAGAATGTCTAACAGTAGATGTTAAGCCACGCTAAGCAAGAAGAATAGTTCTACTATTGTATACTATACACTACAGTATACTATACACTACAAATATGTGTAAATGATAATTAATGAATGAATTAATAAAAAGATGAGTATCGAAGTCAAACTTTTGAACTACAGTATACAACAAAACAACATACTGAAAACCATCATTTTATACAAAGAATTTATTGGATATCACAAGCTTTAACATTATTGTAATTTTTTTTTTAAATTTAAGTCTTAAAATAAAGAATACAGTAATATTAGTTTTCTGTCAGTGGTCTTAAATGGCAGGAAAACGGTGAAATGGTAATGGTTCCTTTGCAGTAGCCTGTCCTATTGATTACCGAGTTTTTGCTTTCCTTTTGTGTAACATCAGTGCAGGGAGACCATGTATTATGGACCATACAAATCCCCCAAGCTTTACCATTACCATTAATAAAGAAATTAAGTGTGGACCACCAAAAGACCATACAAGGTTCTGATTTTTCTGCCACTGACGTGTGCTGATGTTGTAGGCCACTGTGCCAATATGCATTTTATTTACAGTCAACTCTACTTTTCATTTCTTCTTTTCAACATTGTTAAGAATGGATATTTACATATTAATCAGCCACCAACCAACAACCAGTTTTTCTATGCCATCTGATGCTCAGTTGGCATTTTCTTATCACATGTACAATAGAACATCAGCACAGTGGTACACCAGAGAAAGAACATCTCCCCTCCCCCCACCCCGTAGTCCGACGCCAGAACGGGGTCTTTGGCCCAAAAATAATTTGCCTATACAAATGATGTTATTTTGTTTGCTAGTCCCCAATACCATGGTCTAAAAACACAATTTAAGGCATAAAAACTCCCCCAGCAAACCCTACCAGGGATTTTATTCTGGGACGCTCACCAAGGCTCTCATTTACCCCTTTCTCCATACTCCCTGTCGGAGCCATCAATGCATCAAAGCTCTGGTATGTGCCTCGGCTGAGTGTCCTTCAGAAGTAACAGATTGTTGACAATCCATATGTATGCAGTGGATTGGGTGAATATAATTGTAGATTCTGGCAACCACTGGCCAGATCATCCCAAATATTCCTTCTCAAACTTTGTGAAGTCTTCGTCTGTGAAGCCAGTGAATGCCTCCTTATCTTTTTCTTCCTCATCCTGATTTTTAGCCATTCTTCCCTTCAAGTGTTTCATTATCTATAAAAACAAAAGAAGATACACGACGCTGTCAACAACTTGTGCCAAACTGGATAGATCTACTACGTATAATGCGTGGTTCCATTTTAACAATTTTATTATTTGCTATTATAAGCAACAATGGTGAATTACTGCCTCTTTTGAATAAGCCACGTGCCAGAGCATTTACAAAAGTGTTGCAGTGAAATTTTGTAAGTGCCTCTGGACGTTGGTTACCGTTCATTACGCCTGAATGACTTCATAAACTTAATGGTTTAGAATAGGCTTTCTGGAATAAGCATTTTAAAACCTAATAATTTACATCAAAATGTACTAAAAACAAAAAAAGCTCGCATTATATTAGTTATCGAACACACATTTAATCATCAATTAACATTTACAAAGAGAAATTAAGATACAACTTTTTATTAATTACGTTAGAATTTGGGATCAATGGTTTGTCATGGAGAAAATGGCGACAGTTGCATGCATTTTGTGTCGCAGATAGCAACGGAGTAGTATCATGACGTAACACTGTATTACTCTATGGTATACTAGCCACTACATTATAGTGAAAACACTATAATCTATAAAATCACATAACTTATTTGGACTACTAAAAAGTTTGTAAAATTGTGCAAGCATTTGTGGTTACTGTACTTTCCCCAAATCATCCATAGCACCAGTGGTGGTGCCGGGATCCCCGTTGGACAGGCCTGGACTCCCATCGCCCAATGCCGTGACAAGGCCATCGGATCAAAAATAATTAATTTCAACATTATTTTGATTGCAGATCAATAATATTGTGGTCTCATACCTATCCCTGAAAACCCTACCAGGTATTTTTATACTGCAGCCCTGCCTGAGGCTCTATTCTTGGTTCAGACCCCCTCCCCACTGTCTGCAAATTTCCGGAGCCACCACTGCATAGCACCCCACCTATCCCTATCAATCTGTAACCATTGGCTGACACAAAGTGGTCTTGGCTTTACTTTACCTTATCATAGTTCGGTGCATGGTACTGACTAGTTGATAAGAAGTATGCTAAATTATTGTCTGTCTGATCCTCTGGCTGTTTTTGAACGTAAGTTTCTAGGGAAAAAATAATACTGAAATAAATACACCATAGCCTGTTTTCCAACAAATCGCTAGACACTATTTTCTACACTCACACTGATTTCGCAACAGGGAGCTTTCCCGATTGTGTGTCAAACGATAATAGGCAACAGTGTAGAGATTTTGCCAAAAATTAGGGTTTGACCTAATTTATTACAACCAAAGTTGCGCAGTAGTTACAATTCTGCACCGTACCTATTTTCCTAATGTTTTTTGTACAAATTTGAGCTAATTTTTGAGGTATCATTCATGCAATTAAAATACTTTACAGTATGGGAGACAATTATTATTACAGTAGTAGTAGTAAATTTATGTGAGCACTTGCTGAGTTGTGGTACTGTACATGTAGTGCATACACATTGTGCCATTGCAGTTAAAGTAAGTATAATTAAGAACAATTAACATTTTCATACCAATGGCTGATTTGAATTTCTTCTGTTTTTGTTTCTGGTTTTTCCTCTTTGTTGCATTTTTATTTTTTTCTTTCTGTTTCACTTTCGAAATAGTGTCTGAAACATAAAAATGTACAAGTTACAACATTTGACTAAAACTCATATATATAAAAAAAAAATTCTGTTAATTATATTGGCATGAATGTATAAAAAAAATAGCATGAACTTTCAGTGCTTTCAATAAGTATTGTATTTTTCTACTATTATTGGTCAGGGATGGTGCCAAGACAAGATTTGCATTACTGACCTCGTCTAGGCTAGTTCAAGCTAGGAGGACTCGAGGCAGGCTTATTTATGGCTACTACACTGTCTAGGTCTATAGGCCAGATAGGCCTAGGCCCCATAGCACTGGCGTAGAGAAAGAAGGCCCTGCAGAGTGCAGAGTTCTCCTGCTGCTGGATGGGCCAGTTAAGTACTGTAGGCTAGGCCTAGCGCCATATTATTGGCAGGCTAATTCAGATATTAATTAGGCCTACCTTTAGGATTGGATTCATTGGCGTGTAAATCATCACTGAATAATTCAAGGCCTTTCCGAACAAGTGATGAGGTCATGCCTGGTCACAATCTGTTGTTAAACGTGTCCTGTTTTGTTATTTTATTTTTCTAGCGTTGCAGTACGTCATGGCAGCATGGCCGAAAAGTTTACCAGTATGCAAATATTACGGCAAACCACTTTTAATTGGTTAACATTTCACAGGACTTAAATAATCCACCAATTGTAAACCGTGTTAAACTAGCTTAGGCATTGGTTGAGGGTAAAGGTCACATGAGGCTTTCCGTAAACACGGAACAACAGCTCATGGGAGGATCAGCATCCAAATGCACGAGTTAACCCATGAGTGCTAGTGTACTGTATTCTATAACAACTCCCATCAATGTATGCGATTGCGTAAGCTTATTATATTGTATGATATTTTGCTGACGCAAACGCCATCGAAATAGCTTATTGCTGTCTCTTATACACATCTAGATGTGTATAAGAGACAGACAGTATACTATACACTACAAATATGTGTAAATGATAATTAATGAATGAATTAATAAAAAGATGAGTATCGAAGTCAAACTTTTGAACTACAGTATACAACAAAACAACATACTGAAAACCATCATTTTATACAAAGAATTTATTGGATATCACAAGCTTTAACATTATTGTAATTTTTTTTTTAAATTTAAGTCTTAAAATAAAGAATACAGTAATATTAGTTTTCTGTCAGTGGTCGTAGAAAATACAGGGGCGGATGCAGGATTTGGCGATAGGGGTGCGTACAAGTCCACCCCACCTCTCTGTATTAGTTACTCCAGCAATGGAAAGTTCCGCATCCCACTAGAGTTGTGTGCTCAAGACTATAGTTATGAGGGTACATTGTACAGATTATGAAGTTTTGGGTCCTCCTTCGGAAAGTTTTGTTGTCTAGGATGCTTAGAAAGAATGCACCTTTGACGTTTATTAATGAATGAATATACTCTGAATTCACAGATTTACCCCACGACATGGACAATAATTAATTATGATGATGCACGCAATCGGACAACAGTACAGTAATTGTCTACAATTCATTCATTACATTCTCGACTATGATGAAAATATCATAGGCCCTATATCCAACATTTACGTTATAGCATGCACGGAAATGGACAGTTTAACCTAAAATTTTGATGTTTCATGTTGTTTGTTTAATGGTCTTTAATATATGACCACATTCAAAGTTCAGACCCATATAAATTTATATTTTCTTAGGCCTAAATCATAAGGAAGTCCACTCTTCAAATGTTTAGCATAGATGGGTATCAGGAGGATTTTTATTGACTGTCAACCTCATATCCAAATTCTAGGAAATTGCGCTTTATGCATGCACCCGACGTGGGAATTTTGTTTTTTGTTGTTTATCTTCTTTAATAGGCCTACAGTCTAATATGACCACAACATAAGTAAGTCCATTCTTTAAATGTTTAATAGCATATACAGAGAATTCTGACTGTTTATCAATATCATATACACATGATAGATCAAATTTCCGAACAATTACATTTTCAGTGCACGCGCCAATGTGGAAAGTTTAACATAATAATCTTAGTTAAAAATATGGTTCTAAAATTCATCCTTTGACTACAACTATAACTTCTTACGGAAAAATAATAATGCAATTCTTTCAAAAATTGTACTCTGACCATAACCAAACTTTGTATTATTTTACCTCCAACAACTGGGAAAGTAATAAATATGTATAACAATAATATTTCTAAAAATTGTCTGGAGTATCATCCCATGACAGATTACATCCACAGGGTGCCCCTAAGCAAAAGTCTCAGAAAATGGATATATTGCTTTTTCCCAATCACTACAGACTGAGCAGATTACTGGTTTAAATGTAAAAATTTAAGATTATATTTTTAAATCACATAAAATAACAAATTTATATTCAGTAAATTCTCGACTGTCTTGGAAATTCTCAGTCTCAGAAAATGGATAAATTGCTTTTTCCCAATCACTACATACTGAGCAGATTACTGGTTTAAATGTAAAAATTTAAGATTATATTTTTAAATCACATAAAATAACAAATTTATATTCAGTAAATTCTCGACTGTCTTGGAAATTTAGCCCTTATCAAATTTGGTTGGAAACTTTATATTTTAATTGCCAATTGATACATTATTATGCGCTTAATAATTAGCTATCTTCTCAATTTCTCAGTATTTTTCTTTAATGGACCTTTCCGCTAAGCCCCGCCCATTGGATTTTGTTGCTAAGGTACCACAAGACGACAATGCTAAAACATACGCAAACACGTGCGTTTGTGGGACAACACGTGTGTTTGTGAAACGCGCGCGTATTCCTAGCGTTGTTCTGATTAGTCAGTTGTTAAGTTTGATTGACACTCCGGAAAGGTCTATTCTTTTTCTACTTCCAACGCTGTTTGATTTGAAATTTACATACCATTCATATCGTTGCTCTTCTTCCGATCTCGTATTCATTTTCAGACTGTTAGTGCCGGGTGGTAATTTTTTACTTTCTTTTTAGATGTATCAAATGTGTTCGTAAGTTTTAAGCTCATGGTTTACAATTAGGCAACCCACTCCTTTAAAGACCTGTATTATAGCATACGTTATAACAATGAAACAATAATTCCTTAATTAAAAAGTAATAATTAAATAATAGGCCTAGGTTTTCCCTTTAGTGTAATTTTGGAATAACAAAAAATAATAAAAATTATGCATCCCTTATTTTAATAAGGTTATATAAGAATCAACGCACATGTATAGTCTGTGACTGATTTTTGATTAACCATACATTGTGACATAAATAAATAAATAAATAAAAAAACAAACAAACAACAGTGTAGGCGATTTTCTACATCTCTAATCAAAAAAGGGACTGTAGGACTACAGTCCCTTTTTGATTAATACTTTAAGACAATGCAAAAAGTTTTGCATTTATTTTGTCTATATTTTTGTCTTTTGTTAGGTAGGTGGCAATCACTTTATATTTTATCTCCTTCACTGACCTTCGCCATGGCGAATGCAAAGGTCTAGAACCGCGTGCCCGGAAATTGCACTCTTATTATACCTACACTTTACCGGTACAGTAATTCATATCAATAATACAATGCAACAATTATTCGTTCATTGATTCATTCATTTATCAATTCACACAGCTATTTATTCATTCATCCATCCAACCCTCCCGTCCACCCGCACGACGAATGAATTGAGATTGCGATAGCGCTAGTGAAACGTACTTATGGAACTAGTACTTGAGAGGGCAAAGATTCACAATCAAGAAGGGTTAAACATAGTCGAGAGCAAGCCGAGAGTAAACAAAAGGGAACATAAAATTAATAAGGTATGTTGTAACATTGAACTGTTGCGATATATGGCTCATTTATTGCAAAGTGTTTAACAGCTATTTATGAATTATATTTTTTATAGTAACTCCTTGGTTTACGAATGTAGATACATGAGAATTGCGAATTGGCTAAGCCACCGTAGCGGCGATTAAGAACGGTTCAGGCTGAGTCAGGAGGGACAATTTTGCAGTTTGCTCACTAGAGCATAGCTACTGAGGTGTTTCTGTTCCCTGGTCGGTCATGAATATTTATCTAGTAAATTATTTGGCCCCTGGATAATGCCTTAGATCATGCTGGGGGGCTTGCGTATTGTATTTATTTTTAATGACGTTTTACTCCTTTTATATCACTGCATCACTGGAAGCATTTTTGAAATTGTTTGGCCTATTATTATTTAGTAGTAGGCCTCTCTAGGCCTTTTGTAGTAGTAGTATCATTACAATTTACTGTAGTCTATTGTGCGATTAAACAGGCCTATACTAGGCCCATTCATATTTAGTCTAAATGGCTACAACAAAAAATAACCATAATAAAATTACACCCACCTTTTATAAATTTGACATGATAATTTTAGCTCGGTATTAAATTTAATATAATGTATTTTCATATTTATTTAATAAGAACCATATGTAAGGGTTATTCCAAAAGCATTACACAATGCAGCCATAACATGATTTATAATCTTGTCGGGGTTTGCATTGGATAATTCAATGGTATAAGAATCAAGTACATTAATATTATATGACTTGACAAGATATGCTATTTTTAAAACTTTTTCTATGAACTTCTTGTTCTTGCTTTGCTCATGGTTTGTGTATCTTTTTGTAACTTGTTTGTTGACTCCCCGGAAAATCAGATTCCTCATAAAATATAAATTAAAAAAGAAAGCAAGATCCTTGAAATTCATCCATCCAGTAACTACTGATTAGTTAGAGACCCTCAACACAAATATACCCCTGCATTACCATAATTTTGCCCATAAAATTTTTCCACGCATTTGGGAAAAAGGACCATTTTCAAAAAATTTATAAAATCGCAGAAGAGAACAATTTATTAGTACAAATATACAGTAAATAATATTAGCCACACACTAAAAAAAAATTACATTTACTAATTATTATAATAATTAAAAATACAATATAGGTTGATTTACCAATTCAGTGTATGTAACTTACGTATTGTATTTTAAGCAATTTCTCAAGAATTTGAATGAATTTTTGGAAATACAGAATTAAAAAGGATTTGTTTCTTCCTCAGATATAACCATGGCAGAATCACCTTCAAAATCTCCTCAACATCAGATCCTAAAGAGCCCAGTGCAATTTCTACTACCAAGTCCAATAATTACAAGACGCACAAGAACACATTCCACGTAAGTTTCTGCGCTGCAGTGATACTCTGCAAATACCATCAACTGCAATTTGGCGGGGCGCATTCTTAATATTTGTACAGATACAACAGTTCATTGCAGATTTTAATATTTGCACAGAAATGATCCGCTTATAAAGGTTGAAGTCTTTGGCATAAAAAAAAGCTGACTATTGTTGAACCAGTCTGAAAGTAATTCGATTAGCTGTTGTTGTCCTAATCCAATCCATACATGCAATAGCATTCAATC